GGTGTATCATGATGTAGTCTCCTTTTCACAGATTGACTCAGTGACAAGAGAGTTTCATATTTAATCTGTTAGTCCTACAAGAATGCAGTTTGCACAGCCATGAAGCCCGTATTCAGAGGTAATTCCCTGCCTCTGTGCCTGACTAAAAGATAGTATTTGGAAGAGGGACTGGAATTTTATCTTCAGGGCTGCACCACCCAGCAGACCTTCCTGGCACGGTCCTATCTGTGTGTTCCGCTTGGTAGCCATCCTGCATAGGTGGGTACTGACTCCTGAAAAACTGGCTAGTGAGATGAAGAAAGCAGAATTTTAAATGTAATCATTTACAGACAGGCATATAAAGCTAGTGCCTACCTTTCTGAACAATGTAACTCTAGAAAGTAGTTCAAAATTAATAAACACAATTTACAGTAAGTGTAGAAAACAAAGCTTTCTAGATTGATCTAAAAAATACTGAAACAGTTATGTTGTAAAGAATTTCCTTTGTGAGGTCACTAGCTTTCTGAGGGTCTGAGAGTTATTTAGTAGTGGCTGTTGACCATAAGAGGCCTTTGGTCATGACATCATAAAGTTTAAAGGTTCCTTCTACGAAGTTCTAAACTAGTGGTTCTCAACCTGTGGGTTGTGACCCCTTCAGCAAACCTCTACCTCCAAAAATACTTACGATTCATAACAGCACATTATACTTACGAAATAGCGGCTAAGGGAACTGTATTGTCACCGCATTAGGAAGGGTGAGAAGCACTGGTCTAAACCAAAGCCCAGGAAACTTCGGTCATATGGTCCTAGAACATTATACACCATGAAAAATAAAAACACAAGTTCTCGGGCTAGAGAGATGGCTCAGAGGTTAAGAGCATCGACTGCTCTTCCAGAGGTCCTGAGTTCAATTCCCAGCAACCACGTGGTGGCTCACAACATCTACAATTCAATCTGGTGCCCTCTTCTGGCAGAATACTGTATATGTAATAAATAAATAAATCTAAAAAAAATTAAACTTAAAGAAAAAAAAAACCACAAGTTCTCCTGGAAAGCCCAAGGCAAACCAAACTGTCCATGCCCATTATGTGAGAGCACGATGCAGAAGCCACCACTGCTGCCTGGGATGATGGGCAGGGTTGACAAGAAAAGACAACCCTTTGTACAGTGTGGGAACAACAGACCTTGGCTGGAGGCCCACTTCCCCATCAGCCCAGGACCAGGCAGCTGTAAGACAATGTTTACTAAAAACGTGTTTACTAAATACAGTGCCCAGAGCAGTAAGTTCTTGATAAGGGCCGGCCCACAGATATGCCCTAATCTTGACCATTTCCAAAGACTAACTGCCTTTTTCTGACTCACCCACCTTTGCCTCTGGTGTCAGGGTATATATAACCAGCCAGGGTAGGAATAAAGTAGAGCCTTCTTGAGGAGCCTTCTGGAAGCCACCGACTGGTCTCTGAGTCATCAATCCCGACACCCTCCGCACATTCTCAGACACAGGCTGCGCAGCAGGCACGGCAGTACTGAGGCCCTGAATGTGACCTGTACCAATGTCACAGTCAGAAAAGCCGGTGTGTAGCTTTAGAAGACCCACTCTAAGACTTGGTTCTCTACTTGTGAGCACCTCTAATGACACCGGATTTGTTACAATCCACGTGTAAAACAGACAACTAGTTAGACTAGGGAAGGACCCTGAAGGCACAGCTATGCTTAGCCACTCAGTCTGAGGATTTGGAGCACAACTGAAAAATCATGTTAAAACTTTCAAAAAGGGAAAGATGCAGTAATCCATTCCTTTTTTCTTTTTGTTTGTTTTTGTTTTGTTTTAAGACAGGGGTTCTCTGTATTGCTTTGGAGCCTGTCCTGGAACTCGCTCTATAGGACCAGACTGGCCTCAAATTCACAGATATTAGCCTGCCTCTGCCTCTCAAGTGTTGGGATTAATGGTGTGTACCACCAATGCCCGGCTGGTTCCTTTTTTCAAACAGTATATTTGCTGATCAATTGCTACAAATTTTTATCTGGGTAACTTCTTTCAAGTAACTATTTGTGGTATTAAACACATAGGTAGCAGACATTCTAAAATATCATTAGGATGAGGACTTTAGATTTTAAATCATACAACACTTCTCCATTGATGTGGGAGTGCAAATGTACTTTGGAAATCAGTATGGTGGTTTCTTAGAAAATTGGAAACTAATCTACCTCAAGACTAGGCAATACCACTCTTGGGCATATATCCAAAGGATGCACACTCATACCACAAGGACATCTGCTCCATTATCTTCATAGCAGCATTATTTGTAACAGCCAGAACCTGGAAACAACCTAGATGCCCCTCAACTGAAGAGTGGATCAAGAAAATGTGGTACATTTACACCATGGAGTACTACTCAGCGGTAAAAAAACCCTGCAACCCCAGAGAAACCATGAAACAAGGACCCCAAGAGAGATATACATGGACCTTCCCAGGAAGGGGAAATTGACAAGTTCTCCTGAGTAACTTGGGAGCATGGGGAGCAGGGGAGGGGGGAGGAGAACATGAAGGATCAAGAAGGTTGAGTTGGGACAAGGACAGGGGGAGAACAAGGAAAGAGATACCTTGATAGAGGGAGCCGCTATGGGGTTAGCAAGAAACCTGGTACTAGGGAAATTCCCAGGAACCCACAAGCATGGCCCCAAGTGAGAACTTAAGCAATAGTGGAGAGGATACCTTAACTGCCCTTCCCCTATGAGACTGATGACTCCCTTAATTGTCATCATTGACAATTCAGTAGCTGATGGAAGCAGATGCAGAGACCCACAGCTAAGCAGTGGGCTGAACTCCTGGAATCCAGTCGTAGAGAGGGAGGAGGGATTATATGAGCAAAGGGGTCAATCAAGGCCATGTTGGGGAAATGCAGAGAAGCAGCTGGCCTAAGTAAGTGGGAGCTCACAGACTCCAGGCTGACAGCCGGGAACCTGTGTAAGACTGAACCAGGGCACCTGAATGTGGGTACCAGTTGGGGGTTTGGGCAATTTGAGGCCAGTAGCTGTGGAACCAGTATTTATCCCTAGTGTATGAACTGGCTTTTTGGAGCCCATTCCCTCTGGAGGGATACTCTCAGCCTACATACACAGGGGAGGGCCTCGATTCTGCCTCAAGTGATGTGACAGACTCTGATGATCCCCATGGGAGGCCTCACCCTGAGGAGTGGGTGGGGGAGGAGGTGGAGGGATCGGAAGAACTGTGGAAACTGTGACTGGTATGGAAAAGGAGGTGGTTTTAAAAAGAAAAGGTAATAAAAACTTCCTTTTTGGTGATATGACATAGACCCCCTTTAGAAAGCAGTAATGGACTAAGGGAGATAGATGTCTTGGCTGGTAAAATGCTGAGTAGGACCTGGGTTTGGATCCCCAGCAACCATGTGAAGAGCTGGTGGGTGTAGCAGTTGACTGTACCCCAGCACGGGAGGAGCAGACACAAGAGGATCTTGTCAAACTAGTGAGCTTCAGGGTTAGTTAAGACTTAACGTGGTGTCCATCCTTCATCTGAGGTCCCTAAGAAGATAGAGTGGCTGTGGGAGACTGGCTGAAGTGAAATAAGCCCAATGCCTAACGGGCTGAAAATGACCAGTCAGGGTTACTTCAAGTTCCAAGGAACCTCAAGAGCGCATCACAATTTTCAGGGCAAGGATAACAACCCTAAGTTCATGTCATAGGCGAACACGGAAACAAGGAAAGCCCCCACTATTGGTTTTCTGTTGCTGTTTCAGAGACAGGGTCTCACTACATAGGCTCAGCTAGCCTGAAATTCTCCATGTAGATCAGACTAGCTTTGAGCTCAGAGACCTACCTGCCTCTACAGTGCTGAGATTAAAATAGCTCACCAACATGCCTAAAATTCTATTTAAAGAGTGTTTTTTTGGGTGTGTGTGTACACAGACATGCCACAATGTGTGACTGGAGGTCAGGACAACTTGGTAGTGTTTCTTCCTCCACTTATCATGGGTTTCGGTGACTAAATTCAGGTGTGCATCCCCCAAGTATCAAGTTCCTTTAACCATTGGGCCATCTTGCTACTCAAACACTAAAGATTCTGTTCTGATGTGATCTGTGTAAACTTTGTTATCATTGTGCACATGTACATGCAGGTGTAGAGGTCAGAGAACTTGCCGAGCCATCTCGTTGGCGAAAGTCACCTATGTGTTTCTAGTAGTCCCTGACGTAATCTGTAACTGAGTTTTGTGCCAGAAGCCACCAGAACTGGTCAAAGTAAAATTCTTATTGTCAACAGAATAAAATCGATGCATTTATAACATTCTCAAGACACTTTCCCGCATGCGCACGTGTCAGGACCCTGATAGCTTAAGTGCTTCTAAGTACATGGTGGTGGTTCACCTGCTCATCTGCTGACTTTGCTATTTTGTGTGTGGAAGGCAGGTCAAGGACAGCTTTCTGGATTCGAGTCTCAAGGCCCCAGAGACTAAACTCAGGTTATCTGACTTGTGTGGCAGGGCTTTACGCACCAGGCCATCTCTTTGGCCCCTTACTAACAGTCCCCCCACCTTTTTGAGATAGGGGATCACTAATGTGGCCCTGGCTGACCTGAAACTCACTATGTATTATTCTATGCTGGCCTTGGAGATCCATCTGCCTCTGCCTACTGAGTGCTGGGATTCAAGATATGTGCCATCATGTGTGACTCTTTTTTTTTTTTTTTTGGTTTTTCGAGACAGGGTTTCTCTGTATTGTTTTGGAGGCTGTCCTGGAGCTCGCTCTGTAGACCAAGCTGGCCTCGAACTCACAGAGATCCACCTGCCTCTGCCTCCCGAGTGCTGGGATTAAAGGCGTGCGCCACCACCGCCCGGCCATGTGTGACTCTTGCTTTTTGAATGACCAGAACCATGAGAACTAGATTCTTAGTGTATAGTTACGGAGAACTCACTGGTGTCCAGTAAGTCTCCACCTAATCGACCAACCAACATCTGTCTCCTGAATCGAGGTGCAGAGGCAGTGTTGGACACCTCAGTACTCACAGGTCTTGACAGTTTTGCTGATGGATTCCACCAGTTTCTTCAGAGCCCTTTGCTCCATCTGGGAGTGGCTTCAGCACACTGCTTTCCCAAGTAGTCGTCTTCCAAGCTGTGTGCTAAGCTGGCACTAACTCTACAACTCCAAAACAGTGTGGTCATGGCAACTTCCTAGCAACCAGACAGAATGTTCTCGAGCAGTGGACACGGCCAGCCACTCAGTACATATGCAGTCATGTATATCTGAAACCTGTAGCCATTTCAATATTTAACATCATGTAAAATGGTATTTCATTTACAGTTCCTCAGTGCAAATTAAAAATATGTTTCTCTCTATCTGAACATATAACTAAAAAAGATTACAAAGTCCTTCTTTAGACTGCAATAATTTCCCAAGCTCCTTCAAAGGCTGTCACCTGAAGTCACCACATACCTTCTCATGAGACCCTCAGAGCCTCATACACAGGGGCTTGTCAGGTGTAAAGCCCACTTAGCTGTTTCCAATTTAGACCCAGCGGTAAGAAAACACGCTGTGACTGCTGAGCTGCCTAAAATGCCCACTGACCCACTGCATCTCTGTTGTGAGACCTTGGAGGGGCAGACATCTGGTTTCTGGTCTGTGTGCTGAAAATCAACAGGTGCTGCAGTATCAAAACCATGTTCAGGGTTCAGGACACAATATTCTTTCTGAGGGTGACGTGATGGTTCCGCGGATTAAACCCAAGGCCTCATGTTCCACCCCTGAGATGCATGAACACATACCCCAGTCCCTCTGAGTTTTAATAAAATATAAATCAACTTCTAAAATAAAGAAAATACAACTGAGAGAGAAAAGAAAGATTTCTCAACCTCCCTTTACAAATATACCCGAAGAATGCCAGTGGTTTTAAGTTGAAATATGGCAAATTTCTTGTGTGAAAGCTACCAGTTAAGTCTGAAGACAGCAGTTCGCATTTGTTTTCCTTGAGGCTACCACACTACTTACATGAAATGACAAGAAATGAAGGAACAGGGTTCAGCATAGCTTGACTAAAGGTACCAATCTGTATTTTGTATAAAATTAAACTCGGACACTTAGAGTACTTCAAACACCTAAAGGCAACCACAGAACTCCAAATAGACCAAAAAACTTAGTGCTGGTGTCCAGACATTTCTATAGATAGTCATCACTTTCTGGCAGCTGTCACGGTGCCATTCTATAAGAGGCATGCCATGTTTGTAAAATTGATATAAAATCACCCAAGAAAGAAAAAGGGCAGTTTTGGCAAAGGAAGGAAGGTATGTTATTAACTTACACATTATCTTAACCATGGAATTAATGCAAGGGATAACACCGCATAGATAACCTTTTTGTACCTCTCAGGAGGCTGCTACAGTCAGCAAACACCAGGGTGAGTCCTACACAGGAGTCTGAAAGATACAGCGTTCCTCTAAAGTGCCCATTCCTCCTCCCGTGCTCTAACAGACAGCCGCTTCTTACAGGACAGAGCTGTCACATCTAGATCACAAGTAAATGGGCCTTGCACACACAGGGGAAACGTGACCAACAAGTGATCAAATAGGCTTGAACATCAATTGTGAAAATTTGGGAGAGGTATCATATATCCCTCAAAATTTCTGAAACCTTATAGGAGGAAATATATGCATCTTAAAGCAGAAAATTTTAAGGAATCTCCCAAGAAACATGTTATTTTTATCACTAAAAACCCAAGGGTGTATTTATCATTAACTCTGTAACTACCTGAGACCCAAAGGGAGATAAGAACACAGCTATTTTAAATAAAATAGCTATTTATTCAGCCTCTTTTCATGCCAAAATGTTCTGTGCATATTCCACTATAATTAGCACACCTTCTCAAACAGGCAAAATTGTACATCATTATATTTCATATTACCTGATTATATAAAAGTGTAAAATGAAAATGACTTATCAATTCCTTTTAACATTCCTAATAACTCAGAGATAGGAGGCACACAATCATCAGTACAACATGACACAGGAGCAGTAATGTAGTTCTCATGTAAGTTAACACGTCATAATCTGTTATTAATATACAAAGGCAACAAACTTTTAAAACATTCTATTTACTAAGATTCTGCCATAGCTTTATGTAACGAGATACAGCATACCAGGCCGGCCACTCAACTTGTTTGTGGTAAGTCTCAGCTTCAATATGAAGCTGTTAAACACGAAAACCAAAAGTCCTGCTTTTTACATGCTAAATGTCTGGTTAATGTGCCATTAAACACAGCAATGAACTGAAGACAGCGAGAGTAAGGAGTTAAAAGCTAAACATGGCAGCCTAAATAAAATCTATACAAAACATAAAGTAGCTATCACTGGCTACATAAAAACCCTCTGACTGGCTAGAGCTGGTATAAAACATGCACTTTAGAATTGTTAGCTATCAGTTCAGAAAAGTACCAGTGTCTACCAAACAATTCCTCTCCAAAGCCCAAGTGTAGGCAAAATCAATTCAAATGCCATAACACAACCTAACCCTAAAAACATTCACTTGTTATTACTGAAGTGGAGGCAAATTGCAGAGCTTTGGGGGCGCTCTCGTGCTGCAAAGGGCTGGGTGTCTCTGGTTCATACAAAGCAATGTACAACAGAGTCGAGAGATGTCACTAACCTCAGGCAAGGGCAGGACTGACGGTGCCCAGCTCTGGCCTCCCAAGAAACATGGCTGCGATGTCCACAGAAGTAGTGTGAGATCAAAGGCACGCTGTTCTGGTGGCTAAAGAGATAGCAAACCACCCCCTCTTTAAAAAGCTCCTTCCCCAAGTAAATCAGAGTATGCGTGGGGAAAAATTAAAATACACTTATCTACACAGTAAGGATTTTGAAATTTTAATGTAATCCCTACTTTGAAAATTTTTACTAGTCAGCTCATTATTTCTGGTTACATCTTAAAGATGATCCAGATTCAGTTTCTGATCATTTAGCCTTACGGATTTCTAGTAAAAAATATTAGCTTTATTCCAAATGCCGTAACCACTAGTATGACTGCAAAGTCCTATCTCCCAGAGTCACCAGAACTGGAAGAGGACGGTGATAAGCAGCAGGCAACCATCATGGCCTTCACACCGCGGTGTCCGAGTGGCTGTGACTAGTCCAGGACAAGTCTAAACAAGGGGGTTCATGCACGTCACTCCGTATGTCATAGTCTTCACAGTTGAGAGCTCCTTCGACATTGCACTCGATGGGGACGCTGGTCTTCCAGACGCTACGGTGAGTCTGAACTTGAACCAGCAGCCTTCTTTTTCTTCTTCTTGCTGCTGTGCTTCTTATGCTTCCTTCTCTTCTTGGCCTTATCCTGGAAAGACAGCCCACGACTGGGTTACTACCGTACCCATCTGAAACGGGCAGCTAGGAACACTTCCACATCTAAGCCACTCACTGTATTCAACCACAGAGGCAAGCATGCTACTTAGGACGTTCTAGAAAAGCGCCAACAACCACAACTATGGAGTCTAGAGTACTTGCTGAGCCTCTGAGACAGGTACATTAGCAGCTTCCAACAGAAACCTGTGTAAGACTCCCCTGAATCACGCTGTCGGTTGCTTCATTTTACATTACATACAGCTTCCAGAGGAAAGGAACTACAGCTTCAACACAGGGAACTCACACAGCAAGACACAATTGCTTTAGGGGAATGGCAGGTTTTCTGAGGATCAAGTATTTAATCTAATATTTTTAAGTTGGAACATAAACTGTACTGTTCAGACTGCAACTACTGTAGTTGTTAATACCAATTAATACAAAATATTGATACATACTTAAGAGTATTTTCTATTTAATAAAACAGAAGCTTTTTTTTTGATGATAGAGCTTCATGTAACCTAGGCTGGCCTTGAACCATGAACTTCTGATACTAGGAATATAGTAGGCACAGACATGTACCTACTAGCCAAATGCCTAATTTTTACAGGGAAAGCACTGCCTTGGAAAAGCAGTCCAATTCTTACTGTGTTAGAGGGTGCTGGAGCTTTGCTGACCTCTACCTACCTCCCCTGAGTGCTTCTGCTACACAAGTGTAGGTGTAGGTTCAGAAGAGGCTAGTCGTATCACTATGCAGGGAGAAGTGGTACCCAGGCAAGGCAGGCAGCTCCCTCTCCTCCGCTACTGTCACGGAAGAGCCTTGCAGTTTGCCTTCTTGGGGTTGCTGCTGAGAATAGAGTGCCAGCAAGCACTCTATCACTTTTTTTAAAAAAGCATGTACTTAAGTATAATTTTGAGCATCTACTTATTGTGCTGGGGGTGGAATCCACAGCCTTTCGTATATAAGGCAACCACATTATCATGAATTACACCCTCAGGCCCATGGGGAGGTTTGCTTTAGCTACTTACTTTTTTCTCCATATATATACTTCTATCTACCTTACATTCTTGCTGCATTTCTAAGAACTAGAACACGCCTAGGGAGACGCTGGTTAACATACATCAACACACTAGACTTAGCCAAATGTTTTTCTAATAGTCAATATAGACTATACTCTAAAAGATCCAACCAAATTATTTTGCACTCAAGAAAAAAATGTTTCTTATCACTGTGGTCACAAAACACATATATACCCCAAGTTTCAGAGAAGGCTCTTGTATTAAGAATCACAAAGTTCTAGGAAAAGGTTACCCTGATTTACAGGGTATCCTATGCCTTTCTGAACTCCATGGTACACATATATACACTCAGGCAACCACTCATACCAGCAAAAATAAAATATATCGAAAGTCAAGTAAAAGTTAAAGCATGTGTGTGTTTAACTATGTAGATTACACATATAATTTTCTAACTATATGTATTTCTTTTGCATGAACTTGTGTTGTGGTATACACGGAGCCCAGAGGATAACTGGGGTCCTAGAGATAAAACTCAGGTAGGTTATCAGCACCTTTACCCGCTGAACCATTTCACCAGCCCCTGGAACTTCTATTTCTTTCTTCCTTGATAAGGACTCACTGTGCAGCTGGGATTTAGGTGTGCGCCACTGTGCCCAGTTCTGAGCTTCTATTTCTCATAGTAAGACACTGAAAGGGGCCGGGTGTGTTTCCCTGTCCTAAGCCTACTCGCTTCCCTCCTATCAAGTAACCCAAAGAGCCCCGCTCTTCCCAGGCCGCGGCAGGCTGTGAAAACTAAGATACTTGCTGTTCTCTCGCGCTCTTCACCGCTTTTCTTCCGTTTTGCTTGCACCTACAAAGTGGAAACTTTTGTAAACACAAGACAAAGGTAATTTGCACTTAGTGTATATATCTTATATGTTCGAGTCACATGAAGAAAAATTAGATTATAAAAATCACATTTTTATGACTCCTGTTATGCATCAATAAAGTTCCAATAAAAACCACAAATGAAGATTTCAACATTTCTAAGAGCTTCCCTTGCATTATCTTTCAGCACACATAAAAGTCACTGGCAATATAAGATAAAGGTTAAAGAACAGACATAAACATCAGATACTGTTTGCCTGCAACTGGGTGGCAACGCTCTTGAGAGCCTGTCTAAATTCTGTCCACCATTCTGGAAAATGACTGGTGGCAAAGATTTCTGAAGGCCACCTGTGAGGTACCAACTCTAGTATGAACTGAAGATTTTTATCTTCCAATCTCATACTTGAGTGGTTTATATTCAAACACAATTTCACCATATTATACATTGGTATTTACTTTCATTTCTTCTATGAGGGGACAGTAATATAAAAATTAGTGTATTTAGTTTATTTTAGCTATGAGTTTCATTTCAAAGAACATAAAAACTATAACTATAAGATGGGGCAGCTGGTGTGATGGGTCTGAGGACCATTATCATAAACCCAAAACAATGAAGTAAAAAAGCAGACAGGCACAAACAAACAATGAGGATACAGAAGGAGCAGGGAGTTGAGAAACAGAGCAGACAGACAGACAGCTGGGTAAGGTAGACGCCAAAGGAAAAAGGCCCAGCGAACCCAGACTCAGGGAACCAGCTCCTGTGGCAGCCATCCACCATGTTTAAGACAAAACGAAGAGCGTGTGTGGTCCTCCTTTCTACTTTAGTCGGACTGGGTCTCAGTTAGGGGCACTGAGTATAGCCTCTTCCATGTAACCAGAAGGACAGTATTAAAACTATGACATTGGAAAGGCATGGGAAAACATGGTTGATTATCAAAGTGACAGTCATGTAATTGTAAAACCTACTGTGAGCGTTTCCTCTCCTTCACTCACCTCTTCATAATCCGACTCTGAAGATGACTCAGAGGACAGTGCTCTGTCGTCATACAGCTTTCTTTTTTTGCTGAGTCCCTTAGTGTCCTATGACAACAAACACATTTATATCTGTTATGTGCATGCATATTGGCATGTAGGCACACGTGTGCCCGTATGACAGTGAGGGTAACCCTGCCTGCAGTCTTTTTATTCTCCCCTTCAACTTTGTGGGATCCAGGAGTTCAACTCAGGTTGTCAAGACTGCACCAAGGGTTCCTTTATGCTGAACCATCACACGAGCCCCAACTTTCACGTTTCTAAGCCACATTTAACAATTCTGCTGATTTTACAAATCACCCTGTTTTAAACTTAGAAATTTCTAAACATGGTGACATCAACAAGGACTTGAGAGTTTTTAATGCCACTAAAGCAATACTTTCACTTAATAAATTGAAGTAACTACATATCCATTTAGATCAGCAGTTCTCACCATGTGGGTTGCAAACCCTTTGGGGGTCAAATGCCCCTTTCACAGGGTGGCCTAAGACCATAAGAATCTTAAACAGATATTCACATTACAATTCATAACAGTAGCAACATTATAGTTATGAGGTAGCAACAAAAATAATTTTATGGTTGGGGTCACTACAACATGAGAACTACACTAAGGGTCACAGCATTAGGAAGGTTGAGAACCTCTGATATGCATTCAATGTCTTCATTTCCTTAAATTAAAAGATAACATTATAAGAAACCAAGATGGTAGAAGATTTAGGTCCTCTGTATTTTAATCCTGCTGCTTCTACTCAGGATTGCATCAGAAAAGAAAAACAGTTGGTAATTATCTGTTATAATTTAAAAGGATCTGAACAATAACAATGGTATACTTAGAGTATTATATTTTGAAATATTTCATCTTTATCTATATGTATGTGTGTATGCAAGAATGTATGACACATGTGTGTGCAGGTACCCAGGGAGGCCAAAAAGGGTGTCAGATCCCCTGGAGCTGAAGTTATAGGAGCTTATGAGCCACCCAATGTGGGTGTTGTGAACCAAACTCAGAACTCAGGTCCTATGAAAGAGAAGCAAACATGCTTAACCACCAAGCCAACTCTCCAATTCCTCCACAGACATTTTAAAAAACATCTTAGGTCCAGGACAGCAAGATACCTCAGACTATAAAGACACAGGAAACTCACATAAAGGTTGAAGAGGGAAACCCACTTCACAAAGTTGTTTTCTGAACTCCACGTACACAAGGTACACATGACCATTCTGCCATATCATGCACACATATACACGCAAACTAAAAAAATTATAATGTACCCAGGGATGGTACATTTTAACAACTAAAAATTATACAAACATCTAGTATTGCCAACTGTTCAGAAATGTAAATTGATAAACACTTCAGTGAGAAAATGTTTAGATAAACTAAATGTATCCACATTCTGGGAACATAGAAATTACAGTCCTAGACATACATTAGAAAATAAAGAATAATAGGAAAAAAAAGAGTTAAGAAATGCCCACTATATAGAGTCAAAGAGAAGGCTCAGTGATTAAGTGAACTTGTTGCAACTACAGACAACCCTGGTTCAGTTTATAGCACCTACCCAGTGGCTTACAACTTCTTATAACTCCAGTTCTGGAGTATCTGATACCCTCTTGTGGCCATCTTGGGCACTAGGCATGTATACTTAAACACATTAACATGAATAATCTTCAAAATAAATATGCACTGCAGCAGTCTGTACTGCTGAAAACTGGGAACAATTGGTGGCTGCAGGGACAGCTCAGTGGTTAATAAGAACACTCACTGCTTGTTCAGGACTCAGGTTCAGGGCCAGCACCTACAACCATCCGATGAAGGAGATCCTATCCTTTGCTGACCTCCACACAAACATACCTGCATGTATGGGGTGCACATAAACTCATGCAGATAGCATGCTGATAAATAAATCTATTAAAAAATGAAAACAATCTGGACGCTTCATAGGAGGACTGAGAAAAAATGAAATATTGCAAGCAAAACCAATAAGCATGAAGACATCAAGGATAAAAGGCAACAGTACTGCTGAATACAAAGCTGGTTTCAGAATTGACATGCTCTTGAGAACCTCACAGCACTGAATGCTACTATGAGTAAATACATACTTATGTGCTAAATGGCGATGAGAAGATGAACGTTAATTCCAGGACCACTGCCTCTGAAGGAGTGGTGACTTTAAAACAGTAAGACAAGACCACAAGCAAGTGTAAACCATTTATTAATTCTACCATCATGAGGGAGGCTGTTTAGAGTTTGTGAATGACATTTTCTATGTAATACTTTGAAGTATCTCAAAATCACAACACAGCTGCTTCAGTTTTTCACTTGGTATCACCAACTTTTAGTTTCATATATATTTTTTTGAAATAGGAAAGCAACATCATCATCATCATCATCATCATCATCATCATCATCATCATCATTACTATTATTATAGGTTTTCGAGGAGGGTTTCTCTGTATTGCTTTGGAACCTGTCCTGGAACTTGCTCTGTAGACCAGGTTGGCCTCGAACTCATAGAGATCCACCTGTCTCTACCTCCCGAATGCTGGGATTAAAGTCGTGTACCACCAACACCAAGCTACAACCATTATTTTTAAATAGTTTTGAACATCAGGCATTAATACCAAAGCAAATGACATTCTTTGGGCAACTATTGAAATAATCATATGGGGTTTCTCCTTCTATCAGTTAATATACAGCACTTAGTATTAATAATAGAGAAATAAATTATAGTGGCGACCATGTGGCCGCAGCCCCACCTGCTCAGGAAGATCCCAGCCAGCTTGGTCTGAAGCCAGCTTGGTCAACACAATGAGCTCACATCTCATAAATAAATTCATTTAAAAAAATGAAACCCCGTGATATGGAACACATCATGATTCTTCTTGGTCATTTAAAGTGCTGGGTGACAGACTGAGGTCAGTGTAAAAATAGTTACCTTATCTTTCTCAGCCACATCCTTTGATTTCTTTTTCTTTTTTGAGCTGTCCTGCACAAATAGACAAAGAGACACAGTACAAGTGTAGCCTTCTCCCAAAACGATCTGATTCATAACTAATAAGTTTCCTTTAATATCAGAATTTATTCTGAAAATAAAAAGCTCAATCTGTCTTACATGCATATCTGCAAGTAAGACAATAGACCTTTTCCGTTATCTAACTGAATAAAGCCTATATACTCCTAAAACAGTCTGCAATACCCAATGGCTTCCTTTAAATGGGGCTTTACGCTACATCTTTACCTGTAATGGCCACATGCACTGAAGTTCTAATCCACATGGTTTTCTGCCACCCATCAATCTAGTCTGCCTACTATCCTCATCCGTAATTCTGTGTTTATTCCTAGTCTATTCGCCTGTGTGTTAACATCAACTCCCTCATATGGCTGCTGAAAGGTTAAATGCAATGTTTTGCTCTGAGCAACTCAGTGCTGAGTCTCACCTTGCTATCCGAGGCGGAGTCTGACGCTGAGCTCTCAGGAGACCGATGGCTACGGCTCTTCCTTTTCTTCCTCCTTTTTGCTTGTTTTCTATCCTACACAAAACATTCAGAAGCAGTTGTTCTGTTTCAGAATACAACTTATCCATTTAACTAATTAATATCATAAATGTAGCAATAACCAGAACTTAATGAAAGACCAGCTTATAAACCTATTTTCTGCAATGAATATTTATAATGTAACAATGCAACACACCATTTTTCTATTTGAAGAGTCAAATGATCTGAATTATATGTTTGCCATTCTAATCAACGAGTCAAAAATAGATTTTTAAAAAATCTATTATTTTAAATGAACAAAGCAAACATAGAAACAAATAAATACCAATATTTAAACATCTCATCACTTCATTTAATCATATATGGGCACTTTAAGTTATGAGCAATTAATTAAAATCAGAAAGTCGGGATATCTAGCAGCGATTTCACAGCAGGAGTCCCCTGGACATTCACATAGGTACCAATTACTTCATGACCCACCAGAGCCAACCTTACCTCATCTTCAGAGTCCGAGGAACTGCTGGAAGAATCAGAGCTCGATGAAGAAGAAGATGAATACTTGACCAAACACAAAACAATTAAAGCTTGTGAGATTCGGGAATTGCTTTCTTTGATTAAGTCTCTCAAGAACTTAGTGAAATCAATCTAGTTTCTAAGAAACCGAGGCCATATTCATAAGATTCAGAAACTAAATGTCTAAGCCATCTCTATCCCCCAGAAGCTCAAATGCAGTAATGGTCAACAACTGTTCTCTTTAGTAGCAACAGAGAAATTACTAGGTTGTGAGGGAGTTGACATCTCCTTTCATGTCAATAAGGGAATATCACCCATCACAGTCCAAGGACCTCCAGGCTGCTTAACTCATCTACAGTCTAGGTTACCTTTAGCATTCAGGTTAAAAAAAAAATCATTCTTACTTTTTTTTAACAGCTCTTAACTGTAACATTAGAAAAATAGAAAACTTTTGCTCACCCTACCAGATTTCTTCTTTTCTTTCTTCTTTCTCTAAACAGAAATAAACAAGCCTGAATAAGTGACTGAGACTTCAAATACATTTAGTAACATCTTTTTTATGACAAATGACAAAAATGGCAATAAACAAAGAGGGCTGTTACCTGTCTTTTTTTGGATGAGCTTTCATTTCCACTTAATAACTTCTCTCTGTGTTTTTCTAGTTCTTTTTTCCAATTCTACAAAAAAGTTAAGACACTATTAGAAGTTACTGCTCCCTTTCCTAGTTTATTTTTGTTGTTTTGTTTTAAATTACCACTCACCTATCTCAACTTCTTTTTTAAAAAAAAGATTTATTTATTTTCATTTGTGTATATGTCTGTGTAAGATGTATTTTTCAAGACAGGTTTCCTGGAACTTACCAGGTTATCTTGAATTCGGAGATCCACCTGCCTCCACCTTCTGAGTGCTGGTAGGATTAAAGGCATGTGCCACCATGCCTGGGTTAAAAAAATTATTTTTTTTAAATAATACAATGCATCATGTATGGCCAGGCAGTGGTGACACACACTTTTAACCCCAGCACTCGGGAGGCAGAGGCAAGTGGATCTTTGTGAGTTTGAGGCCGGCCTGGTCTACAGAGTGAGTTCCAGGACAGCTGGACTGTTTCACAGAGAAACCCTGTCTGTACTGAACCCCTGCCAAAAAAGAAGTATGATTATTGTGGGCAGGTATGAGGTGTGTGGGGTGCACTACACTACGGTGTATGTGTGTACGTCAGAAGACAACTCTGGAATTGGTTCTCTCCTTCTGTTCATGTGGGTTCTGAGGACCACATAGATCAACAGGCTTGCGAGGCAAGTGCCTTTACTAAGTCCTTCTCTTATTTTTATAGAAAGTATTCATTTACTCACAAGCCTGTCTCCAAATATAACAGTAATATTCATAAAATATATAAACTCTTTGTGCCTAAAGTGCAATGCTCAAATTTTTGGTTTGTTAAAGTGAAACAATTAAGAGGTTCATTTCATTGTAAGGAAAAGATCTAGTTCTTTAAAAGATGCTGTTGACAAACCTCGTTCATTTTTTCTTCAAATTCGGCCAAAGCTTTGGAACCCTTCTTTTTCTTTTCTAGCTGCTCCTTTACTTCCTCCCTTGAAACACAGAATGATAAACACAATTTCAAGCATTTCAATTTAAGTAGACAACACAAGCAAGACAAAATTTTAATATTCTAAGATTGCCTTTCATATTGATAGTTGAAATTTCATAATAAAGCCCACGGGGTGATGTCACCCCTCTTCTAAACCCAGATGGGTTAGACATTATTTTGAAGCTCACAACAACCCAATAAATAACTGGTACTTACAGCCTTACTCAAGTTCTCAGAAACTAAGATATCTGCCTCAGGCCACAAGCTGTCAGCAGTCAGATGAGCCCAATCAAGTCTCTTTTACTCAATGCTACACTCTGCTGGTACGCACCCATGACATAAAATACTCCACATGCATGCCTAAGGCTTGATACAGCCTACCTTCTTAGACTACTGGATTTTACCGTTCCCTCACTAAGAGTGGCTTATTTCAGCTAACTCTGTATGTGGGAAGACACAGTAAGTTCAGGCCGAGTATCTGATTCATTTCTGAAATTCAGAATTTGAAAATGTAACAGCAGAGGCTGACTACTTAGCAATAAAAGTCCTGGATACCAAACACCTCCTGAGCCTTCTGGGCTGGCAACACCTCACATGTTGTCATAATTCCTTGCAAGAGGAATTAATGTGCTTGTATGATTCTGTTAGCAAGACCCTTGGAAGCCCATGCCTGACTTGCCACGGTTCCCCTTTCAACAGCACTCGACATCCTTCTGTTGCATAAATCTTGTTAGGAGAGGGATTATCTGCCAAGCCTCCTGTGAGCGCTCTTATGAATTAACCAACCAACCTGTGGGTAGTTTTAAAGGCTTCTGACCCATGGGCATTTCCCCTTAACACTCCATGCCCTCTTACCATGTTAAAGGTGAAGTAGCATTGGGGAACTTTTCTGGCTGCTGCAGTGGTTAAGAACAATTCTTGAGCACACTGGAGGAGGTGGGCAGTGAGCTGAAAGGATTCCCTATAACGTATAGTAAGCAAACTACAGTTGCTTGGATCTAAGGGTACCCTGCAGCTGGCGATTTGCCACTTTAGGACTGCAGTAGTAACAAAAAGGATGAAATATTAAATAACAGTGTTTGAAACTGTGACCAAGAATTTACAAAGGATGAGAGCTACTCCTCCAGTTTTTCTCACTCGCCTGAATCAGCTGATAAACTTGGAACAGCACCATACAGTATATTCCTGTTACTCCTCCCTAACCTAAGTGACTCTCAGTGAAGGATACCACCATTCACCACACTGCTGATTTTAAACAGCACAGAGCTCTGCAAGGTCATGAGAGACATTTTAGAGGCTACAGAAGAGTGACAGGAGAAGGCTCCCTAGAAGTGTTTTAGCCCTGCCAGGTTCTCAATGTCTATTTTGTTTATGAGTATGAAATCATATATTCAAAACAAAGCACCTGTTAAGCGTTACTTTAAAAATCACTCATTATCCTGGATGTCCACATGTACAAGAACAAAATTGGATCCACATATATAACCCTGAACAAAAATCAACTCTAGGTGGGTCAAAGACCTCAATGTGAAAGCAGAAAGGCTAAAGCACTAGAAGAAAACACAGGCCTTGCCTTACAGGATGCATGAACAGGAAAGGGCTTTCTGGACAGGAATCTATTTGCCCAGGAATTAAGGCCAGCAACTGATAAATGCGACCTTCTTAAACTGTCTCTGTACAGCAGAGGGAACAGCTGAGGGAAGAAGCTCACAGAAAACCTTTGCCAGCTGTGTTTTGTTAGAGGATCAATATCCAGATATACAAAGAATCAAGTAAACACACAACACACAGGGTGCTAATAGATTATATAATAAATACAAAGTGCCAGATTGGCCACGGGGGTAGAGATTCCCAAAACAATACAGGCCGCTGCCACTACCTTTGGATGTTTCTCAGACTTGAAGCTAAGACCTCCCTGCTGCAGACTGATCACACACTTCAGACACAGGACTTGGAGGAATCCAGCTGTAACTGACCTGGAGCCTCCTTTCTGAGGACCGGTTCTGCAGGTCCCTAAAGGTGCTATCCAAGCTGCCAAGGGAGAGAAGCCAGTGGTAAATGGAATTCATGGCTAATAGTATAAATTTAGCTAACTACCTGTGGCCAGTACAGTCAGATCCTGGAGGAGAACCTACTACTGCCATTTTCCTAATCCAATAAACTTTCTAACTACATTCTAAATACTCATCCTCACATCCAGCTAAGGGCATCACACCTCAACAGAAGATTCTGACCCACAACTGGTCAGAATGCAGAGAAAAAGTGATAATGGGCACCCAGCCCAAACTGTTACATTTACAATGCAACCTCTACATGCAAGGCTTAGAGAAAATTATAGGAGAGGGAGAGAAAGATGGTTAAGAGCCAGAGGACCAAGATGTCCACCTAGAGACAGCATCTTTTAGACATGCCAGGGAAAATGCACCCATGAAACTACAACACTATGGCTGCCTAAATAAGGTCTGCATAATGTCAACATCAGATGACAAGCCGATTGGATGAAGATGTTGTAGGAATGCTGGCGTTGGGGGTAGGAAAGAGAAATTGAGTATGAATCAGAGAGGTCATTCAATCCCAAGTGGCCAGCCTTAGACACATGTATGTATGAGCAACGTGACGAATTGAATTCAATAGGTTGCATGCATGTGTAACAATATTAAAGAAGTCATGAACTTGAGAAGAACAGGAAGAGTTGGAGGGGAAAGAGGGAGTAGAAATGATATAAATGCAATATTCATGTAAGAAATTCTCAAAAATTAAGTGAAAATCACTTGTTTTCTGGCAAAACTGCTCAACAATTACTAAAGGCAGTAAGAGTAAACTTATGAACAGGTAAACTGAGGAATACCAGGTAGGCCTTGGTCGATTCAGATAGTCCTGGATTGTTGGCCCTGAAGACTGGATTGGACCCCTCGATCGAGCCATCGCTATTGGATTCATGTAGGCCTTGAGAAAAAAAATAACAATTAATTCCATTAAAATAACCACTAAGAAAAGTCACATATATCTAGCAGCATTAGTATAAATGAATACTATACCCAACCAAGCATGAAAAGGCTGACTAATCAACTTATTACAAAAATCAGTTTAATCTTCTACACAGCCTTGAATTTTGTGTAAAGTAATCACTACAGACAACACAAATGCTGTTGCTTTAGCAGATTTGAAAAACAATGAGGCCTCTCACCTGCTGAAGCCTTTAGGGTAACTTTTCCTGAAACCCAATAGCCCAGTGAAGGTGACCACACTATGCTATTTGCAAATTATGAAACCCACTTCAAAGAAACAAAAGCGACTTACTGCTAAATCTCCTAGTCCATACTGATGGTGATTTTACTCTCAAATTAACATCAAAAATGAAGCTAAAAGCAGTAGCAGCACACGCCTTTAATTCCAGCACTCAGGAGGCAGAGACAGGCTGATCTCTGTGAGTCTACAGGAGTTCCAGAACAGCCAAGGCTACACAGAGAAACTTTCTTGAAAAACCAAAGCCAAATGAAAAAAAAAATCAAGTTACAATCACCAACAAAAAACTGAGGACTTTATAAGATGGTGGTCAGTCACTGTGGCACATTCTGCAGTTCTATCACTTAGGAGCTAGAGGCAGAAAGGTCAGAGCACTTCATCTCAAAACAAAAACAGAGCCCCAAATAAACTTTATGTGCACGGGTTTGCCTGCATGTCTGTCTGTGCACAGTGTGCATGTAATACCTGCAGAGGTCAGAAAAGTGAGTCAGACTCCTGGAGTTACAGACGGCTGTGAGTTACCATGTGGTGCCAGGACTCAAACCCGGGCCCTCTAGAAAAGCAGCCAGTACTCTTAACCACTGCCTTTTCTCCATCCTTCCAAAATAATTTAAAATGTGCCACAAATAATGAAGACAATTTGCAGAATGGGAAACCATCTGTAAACCATATACTTAATAAGAGAGTAATGCCCAGGGTCTAAAAGACAAAACACCGGATCATCTAATTTAAAACTGAGCAAAGGGATTAAAAATATATTTCTCCAAAGACACACTGTCAATGGGCAATATACACATGAAAGAATGTTCAATATTACTAGAAAGGCTATTATCAAAGAACCAGAAAGTCACAAGGATCTTTACAAATGGGAAGAAATTGGGACCCTCTGTACACTGGTGGTGGGAGTATAAAATGGAATATATGTTGTATAAATTATTTGGCTGCTCTTCAAAAAGTTACATATAGAAGCACCATATGAACCTCCAATTCCACGGTGGCCAGGTCCTGCAGATACCCCAACAAATTCAAAGCAGACTCTAGAACACCAGTGTTCACAGTAGCAGTCAGTATGCACAATAGTCAAAGGGCGGAACAAAACAAACATCCATCCATGGATGACTAGACAAACAAAACACACACGCCATTCAATGTTCAAAAAATCAAATTCTAATACAGGATCTGATGGGTCTTGAGAACAGTTATGTTAAGTGAGGTAAGACAAACTTAAGTGGACAGCATCTCAGCTCCTGGGAGGTATCTGTAAGAAGTAAACCCATGAAGACAGAAGGACAGAATGGAGTTATCGTTTCATCGTGCGGAGTTTAATTGGGATCCTGAGAGTTCTGACATGGACAGATGGTTGTAGAGCACTGTGAATGGAGCTAACACTGAACTACACTGGAAAATGGCTAAAGTTGCTGGGGATGGTGGGGCACCCCTTTAATCCAAGCACTCAGGAAGAGGCAGGAGAATCTCTGGGAGTTCAAGGCCAGCCTGATCTACAAAGGTAAGTTCAAGGGCAGTCAAGGCACTACAATTAGACCTGTCTCAAAAGAAAAAAAAGGATGGTAAGTTCTGATACTTGAAATGGTATCAGTCTCTACTGTTTTGCTTTCACACACTGAAATGCTCAACAGGAGCAGGTGTATGAGATATTTGAGAGTATGTTTATACAAAAACAAAATGTGCTGAGGATGGAGAGATGACTCAAGATCTGGTCCTGACCCTCCTGTCTCCACTTTGAATGCTGTGATTACATGCATGCACCACGTCTGATTTTACATGGTGCTGGGGATCACACTCAAGGCAAGCAAGGACCATCAATGCACCATCGGAGATACAGCCTACATACCACATATATATAGATCAATAAAAAAATGATCTGTATTTTACAGCTACCACAGTAGGAGAAACACACATTTCAGAGTTCCTCTCCCACCCCTGCTAAGAAACCTTGAGACAAAGCAAAGTTTCTTTGTGTAGTGGTGGTTTCTGGCAGACATACTGATTTTTTGCTACAGACAAAAGATCTGCTTTGTTTAGAGACAGGATCTCCCTAGGTAGCTGTTGTTTATCCTGAACTCTCAGCCTGTGATTACAACCACTCACCACCATGCCCTGTCCAGTCTCAACCTCCTGATCAATTTTCCAAGTTTAATTCAAGTTGATAAATGCTTGCTCTATTTAAATGATAGGAACTTAGGTTAAAGATAATGACTCTTAGGTTGATTTTAAAGCCTTTCTCTTACTTAACACTGAAACAAAGAAAGCACTGTATTTGCTACACTTTATCAAAACCTGTAAAAATGACCACTATTTCCATCTTACAATACAAACAGCACCTCCGCTAAGACAACACTGCCTAGTTACTGGGAATGAGCACACAAACTAAGTTCAATACTTGTAAAGCAGTATGATTCATATATATCATGACATAATTTAACTTCTGTGTTGTACCTGCTTGTGTCTGTGCATCATATGTGTACAGATGTCTTTGAAGGTCAGAAAAGGGTATCAGATCCCTGGAACCAGGGTTACAAGTGTTGGTGAGCTACGAGTACTGGGAATGTCTGGAAAACCAAGCTCTCTGCAAGGGTCCTAGACACTTTTAACTGCAGTCATTTTATCAGCCCCTAATGGTAAAGCATTTTAAGTTTAAAAGTGTACAAATTACCTCTAAATAATGCAGCTATGTAAAAGGACCATCCCAACCAAATTACAACAGCAAAAACTTAAAAACACCTAGGCAATCATTAAATCAGGATTCATGAAATATACTGAATAAATGAAATATTATGTAGATCCCCCAAAAAATGAAGTAGATCTACAGTTTGTGATTTGGAAGATCCCCTGAAGTTGCCAAAAGAAAAAAGAAAAAGTATGCACCAAATGAGATGACATTCCCCTCAACTATTTTATTTTTGTAGATATTTATTTCTTGCCGGGCGTTGGTGGCGCACGCCTTTAATCCCAGCACTCGGGAGGCAGAGGCAGGCAGATCTCTGTGAGTTCGAGGCCAGCCTGGTCTACAGAGTGAGTTCCAGGACAGCCTCCAAAACAATAGAGAAACCCTGTCTCGAAAAACCAAGATATAAACTTTTTGATTGTGTGAATGTGTCAGTGTGCCTGTGGAGGCTAGAGGGTGTTAGATCTCTTGGAGCTGGAGTTGGTTGTAAACCATGCACGTAATATGGGTGCTGAGAACCAAATTCTGATCCTCTTCAAGAGCAGTACATGCTTTTAACTGCTAAGCCATTTCTCCAGGCCAGCCTGTTCCCCATTTCATATGCTTAATGACCAAGTGGTCCTCAACTGGAGAGCAGTCCTGGGTCTTCTGGAAGAACAGCTAGTGCTCTCACCCGGCTTGGTCACTTGATATGCTGTGACCTTGCTGGGGAGATGGCTCAGAGAGTGAAGGCATGAGTCTGATCCCTGGAACTTACCACTTACTCTGGAAAGTTGTCTCCTGGCACACATGCACCCACACATATACAAATATGAAAATTACAGAAATAAAAACCTTGTCTTTGTAAGTCACACATTCGTATTACACGACTATAACTGTCTGTGGCTCCAAACTGCTACATGAGTTCAAGTAAAGGAAAATTATTTGTTACTGTAACTCAGAATAGCAAGCTAGGCTCCAGGGGACACACGTGTGCAGGCACCAAAAGAGCAACGTCATACAGGTGCTAAGGCACCGGCAGAGTCTGATTTGTTGCTTGGACTATTTTACCTAGAGCGCACAGATTTTCAAAACACACACACACACACACACACACACACACACACACACACAGACACACACACACACGATCTCTGTCATTTCTATTCAACTTCTCCATTAACCCAAAGCCTCTCTAAGAACCCTGAAGAAATGACCAATAGTCAAAGGGAGAATTTCTAAAGGCCTCAAGTTGGGTTCTCAATAGTTTCAAAGGCTGTAACTACAGCTTCCAAAACATACAAATGCTCCACAACAAGACAAAACTCATTGTTGAGGAAGAGACATCTTCTACCCAAACCTGATGATCTGAGTGTGATCCTGGGAATGTACACAGTAGAGGAAGAGAAATCCTGGGTAGCTGTTTTCTGACCTTCACAAGTTTACTGGGGCAGGTGTGCACATACACACACAAAATAAATATAAATAAAAACAAAACAACTGCTCAACATGAGATGTGTTTTTTTTTTAATTTGTGCTTGTGTCCATGTGTATCCGTGTGTGTACATGCACGCGTGTTCTCATAGACATGAGAGGGGTCCTGGATCCTCTGGAGCTGGGGTTACAGAGGACTAGGGATGGCCTGATGTGGCTGATGGGACCGAACCTCAGTCCTCTGCAGGAGCAGCATGTGCCAAGCTGGTCTACAAATTTCCAGGCCAGGCAGGGACACACATGGAGACCCTGTGTCACCACAAACATAATTAAGAAAAAGGGGGGGGGGGGACACAAAAGAGCAGCAGCATGTGCCCTTACCCTGGGAGTGGCACTCCAGTCCCTTATAGGGCTAACCCTATCATCCCTAGATCATCTCTAAACAACAATACAGACATGATGCTGTCATCAGGTAAGGAAAAGAGCTGGATGCCTCTGAGATCATCTCTAAACAACAACACAGACATTCAAAATAAAGTTCTAACTACAGAGCCAGGAAAGAAAGCAGCCACTGTGGTGAATGAAGTGACAGGGATCACTAAAGCAGAGACTTCAAGGCAGTGATAGTGCATCGTAATGGTGGATACATACCATTATCAATTTGGGCCAAGCCATAAAATGCAAACCACAATTTCACCTGAACACATGGACCTTTATGGGGGGTGGGGGTGTTGGTAGGGGAGAAGCTGTGTGGGGGGGGTGTACCGTATAGGATATCTGTAGTTTAAAAGTGCTGTTTAAAAGTGAGCCTTTGGGGGCTGGAGGATGGCTCAGGGGTTAAGAGCACTGGCTGCTCTTCCAGAGGACCTGAGTTCAATTCCCAGCACCCACACAGCAGCTCATATCTGTCTGTAACTCCAGTTCCAGGGGCCTGACACCCAAAGAGAATAAAGCTAAAGCATTTTAGTTAGAAAAGGTAACGCATAAAGAACTTTAAAAAAAAAAAAGCGAGCCTTTATAGAAAAAAAAAAACACCTCAGTCATGAGGTACCCGAACCAAGTGTCAAATGATACACGTTCTGGTGGCAGCTAAAGCAGCCGCAACCTGTCCTCTCCGAATTAGACACTCCGTCAGATCTACAGCTCCCAGCTCCTGAATTACTGCTCTCAGTCTCACAATCTTTTAAGTACAAACAAAATGCCACCAGAACATTCTGTGCTATGACAACAAAACAGTTCAGAGCTGTCAAAACGCGCCAGTAAACGGACCTAATTTCATGTTTCACAAATGCCTTAGGGACGTTGCAAACGAAGTTTCCAGTAAAATGGAACATTTTGGATTTCTGTATGAAGTTAGTGTTTGTAAGTAATCCTATAGCCTTTAAAAACTCACCACAGCATCATACAAACAAACCAACAAAACAAAACTGAAAAAATCCCCAGGAAACAAGTGATTTCCAAGTGCGAGAGGGCAGTAAAACGGCCCTTCAAGTACTCCGGGGCGTCGAACCCAGGATGCCCGTGCACATGGCCGTTTCAACTCTATTCTAAGGTCCGGACGACGCGTGGCCTCGTCTTGAAGCCAGGGGAAAGACCATTCCCGAGCAGTGTAGGCAAGGTTCTCGAGGTTTCCCATGCGGAACAAGGAACCAAAACGGCCGTTTTGAGGACGGGGCACGGCCTCGTTTCCCAAGAAGCTCCTTAGCACCCACGCGCATCGGCCCGGGCTGTGGCCTTTGTGGCCGAGCTGTGACTAACGAGGCCCCCGTTCGCCCACGAACAAACTCGGGTTCGGGGGGAGTCACGAACTTCCGCGGGCACGGCCGTGGGCAGCGCCCCGAAGCCCCCATCATCCCCGCAGCCCCGGGCCCCGCCCCGCCCCGCCCCGCCGCCCCGCGCTCGCCGCCCTCACCGCTGCGGGGCGAGCGGTCCCCGGGCCCGCAGCCCCAGGCGCCGAGGGCGAGCACGGCGCACGCGCACCGCGAGGCGCGGGGGTCTCGGGGACCGTGGGAGCGCCGCGGCCGCCGGCCCCTCCGCGACGGCTTCCGCTCGCTCCCCGCGGCCCCGCCGCATCCCTCGCTTCCCCCCACCGAGTACTCACCACGCGGTTGTCTCGCTTCCCCATGGCGGCCGGCTGAAGGCGCGGGAAGCCGCGGACAGCACAGGCCCGAGCAGAAGCCGAAGCGGGGGGGGGCCGCAACTCCTCCCACCGCCTCTACGCCCCGCCCAGAGAGCGGCGCCCCGCCGATGTCCGGCCCGCGCACGCCACCGCGCCCCCTGGCGGTGCGGAGGACAGACCGGCGCCAGCGCCCGCCCGCGGTTCCCAGGAGCGGCCGCTGCTGGCTTCCTGTGGCCACCACTCTCTGCGGGGAGGACACGCTCTGGACCCCGCCTGGCCGAGGCATTCACTCCACTTGGCCTTGGCTTTTCTCCCATCCCTTATGCGCCGAAATGCGCCTTTTAGGGGAAACTCAGATTACCACCACTCTTACTGTGCCTGCGCTGGTACAGCTGCTGGAAATAAAGTGAGAACCAACAAATGGGCAAACTCGGCCTAGAGTCCTTCACCTGGTGCGGGAGGAAGTGCTCTTAGAGACTTAGTTAAGGTACTTGTACAGCTAAGCATCAGTCGTTCACCACCGGCGCATTCCATGTTTTTAATCATCTACTTTGCAAATTTTTCAATAAGAACACTTGCTGCTCTTGCAGAGGACGTCAGTTTGGCTTCATGCATCCACAAGGTGGTTAACCAAATCTGTGACTCCAATTCCTCATGACCTCTTCTGACCTCTGTGGGTCAGGCACTCATGGTGCATATACATGCATGCGGGCAGTCAAACTATTCATACATGTAAAACACATCTAACAAAAAATTTAAGTTATAAAGCGTTAAGAAGTGAGGCAGGATCAAGACAAAGATAGTTAAGACAGGATCCCTACCTTTATGGAGTCTGTTTTACAAGTTCCAAGGGCTAGATAAACACACACAGGTAAACCTTATTGTTTGGCTATGTCGTTATCTGGACTGTCCCAAAACTTCAGGAGAAGTGACCTGCACTCTAGAAAAATCATACACCATACTCATTGGTTACTCACAGGCTTGGCAATAGTGGCTTATAGGCTCATGGTTCATGTCAACATGAGAACACTAGGGAGTGATTTAAAGTCGATCAGAATCTTTTCAGGACATTTGGGAAATGGCAATACGGAGCTCTCATTTCAGTGAAGAAAATCTTTTACCCCTCCCCCCCTTATGATACAGTCCTAGCATTTGGAGACAAGGGATGGGTGGATAGAAATCGTGAGTTTAAGGATATCTTGAGCACCAAAGTAAATGCAAGTCTGGCCTTGGAAACTTAGTGAGACACTGTCTAAAATAAAAGTTTAAAAAAAAGGCTGCTTTGTGTGTTGGTGGCAGTGGTGGCTCACTTACCTGCCTTGTGTGTTGGAGGCAGAGGTGGGTCACCTGCCTTGTGTGTTGGTGGCAGTGGTGGCTCACTTACCTAGCACCTTGGAGGCCCCGTATTCCATCCCATTTCCTCCAGACAAGCCATGGATTCCTCCCGTGAGAGTCTTTCCTTTTTCTTACCCTTCCAGTCTCCACATTCTTTCTCAAAATGGTCCCAAACTCTGCCCAACGCAGCTGATGGTGACTCCTTCCCACAATACTGATTGTTCTCAGGGAGCAGCCTCCTGCCCACTGTGGATCTGGCCCGAAGCTTTTTATTTCTGTTCCTCTCCCTGATCCATTACCCCCAGCTTAAGCAGAGGCTAGACCACCTTATCTTTGTGCCCATCAAGAAAAGAAGGGTTTGTGAGTAGCAGGTGGTTCTTCCTCTGTGGCCCACTTCCAAGGCTGTGGCACTTAGCAGACTGTGTGACTTGAGAACACAGGGCGTTTCCCCTTAGGCTCCTTCTTGCTCTCTACGTCTCCATCTTTGGATTGACTACAGAGTATGGAGATTTAAACATACATACATACATACAAACATACATAATACATACACACATACATACACACATACATACACATGCATACATACATACACACACATACATACACACATACACATACATACACACATACACATACATAATACACAGACATACACATGCATACATACATACACACATAGATAATACATACATACATACACACGCATACATATATACATACATACACACATACATACACACACATACATACATACACACATACATACATACATACATCAATGATATACAATCCAACAGGAAGATTTGTGTTTCCTTTAGCTATCTTTAGCTGACAAGTGACCCAGTCTTAGAGCACGTATCTCAGAAAAGGAAACAGGAAAGCTTTTGGGTGCTGCCAAAAGAGAGAGGACTTCATAAAATCTAGACCAAAGCTCACAGCAACTCTGTGGGAAGACGGAAGAGATGTCTTATACATCGCCCACACGTGTGATCTGCTAAGAAACACACTTTCTTTCTAGCAGTGAATTATGTGTTGTCCCAGATGCTTAAGGCATAGCCAAGAGATTGCATTTCATCTTGGAGCTGAGAAAAAATTTCGTGTCTCACAGTGACAAAGCAGAGCTGCTGAGCATTTGGACACAAGTGTGTCAAAGATGAAAATAGGAGCTTTCCTTACAACCTTACACTGTCACTGACAGGGCAAGGGAGGATGGAAAAATCGCATTTCAGGTAGACTGTGACCCTGCGCAGAGTTCCTACAGAAGAGAGAACTTACTAGATTAAAGGAAACAGACATAGGCAAGTGGGACAGCTACTTGTAGAAGGAACAAAACAAGGCAGGAAGGTTGCCTGGGACTGGAGGCAAAGGACCTTGACTATGAACGGAAAATGGTATTTACCGTACAGGCAGATTTTGAATGGAAGTAGATGAATAACTTCAAAAGGGCAAAGCTGTAAATGACAGTAATAATTATATTAACAACCCTCTCAAGTAGAGATTTTCCGAGTGAACAGTATTCACGGACTGTAACCTCGGTTGTCTTCTAAATCTAATAGTATATTAGTTGTCTTTCCTACACTCTGCATTGTTTTTGTATGGGTGCTTGAGATTTTGAATGGAAAGAGAAGTAGACAGTCGACAAGCTTATGTCTCTTGTTTGGTTGTACCTATCCTTAGACTGGAGATGTAAGAGTGCCACTTATATTTGATAATGGACACTGCAACCACATTAACCTCTTCTGCTGGGAGACATCAAGTCTAGTAATTATGACAAAGGAAACAGCACACTCATGCCATGACAAACCATGCAGGGATTGTAAAAGTGAAGTAGAGCTTCTGGGCCCTACACACATCCAGCTAAGGCCTGGGGACTGCCACTGTGGGAGCCAATGCACCCAGAGACTGCCAGCATCTTAGTCCCTCTCTCCGCCCAAGGGACTAGGCAAGCCTGGGCCTGTTTCCAGCACACCTTCCTGTGTCCTACATGCAACCACCTGAGGCCTGGTGACTGCACTGGGGATCTAATCCCAACTAGGTCCAGCCCACCCTGAGACTACCAAGGCCCTGGTTCCATCCATGGGAAGAGGAGAGCCACCAGAGTATTGGACCTGCTTTCACCCACTGGAAGGGAACCCTGGTCACATATCCACCAGGAGAGGAAGAGACTCCTTCTGCACCCACTAGGAGAAGGGATGGGAAGGAGACAATAGGAAACCACACTCAGCAATAAAAAAAACCAATATGACACTGTCAGAGTCTAGAGACTCTACACCAGCAAGACCCAAACATCCCAATGCAGATGAAGCAGAAGAGAATGACCTGAAAAACAACTTCATGATAATGATAGAGGCCCTCAAAGAGGATATGAGAAAACTCCTTAAAGAAATTGAAGAAAAAAACAAACCAAAAAATGCAAGACATGGAGGAAAAGACAAAGCAAAATTAAAAGAAAAAACTCAAAGAGTGCAAGGGTTGAAAGCTAAAAAAGAAACAATAAAAAATAGTCTGAAGGAATGCTGGAAATAGAAAAGCTGGACAAATGGTCAGGAACTACAGATGAAAGCATAAGCAACAGAATACAAGACATGGAAGAGAGAATCTCAGGCACTGAAGATACACTAGGAAAAATAGATTCATAAACCAAACAAAATCTTAAGTCCAACAAATCCCTAACACAAAATATCCAGGAAATATGAGACACCATAAAAAGACCAAACCTAAGAATAATAGGTATAGAAGAAGGTGATGAAACCCATCTCATAGGAGCAGAAAACATATTCCACCACCATCAACCATTCCAAAACAAACAAGAATGAGCAATCAATGGTCATTAATATCCCTCAATATTAATGGTCTTAACTTGCCCATCAAAAGACACAGGCTAACAGAATGGATTCAAAGACAGAACCCATCCTTCTGCTGCACACAAGAAACACACTTCAGCTTCAAAGACAGATGTTATCTCAGAGTTAAGGTTGGGAAAAGATTTTTCCAATCAAATGGACACAAGAATCAAGCAGGGGTAGCAATCTAACAAATTAGACTTTAAATTAAAATCAATCAAAAGAGATGAAAGAAGTTATTTCATACTCATCACAGGAGAAATCAACCAAAATAAAGTCTCAATTCTGAACCTCTATGCCCCATAAACAAAGGCATCCATGTTCATAAAAGAAACATTACTAAAACTCAAATCACACATAAAACCTCACACACTTATAGTGGGAGACTTCAGCACCCCATTCTCACCACTAAACAGGACTACCAGACAGAAACTTAACAAAGAAACAAAGGAACTTATAGAAGTTATGACCCAAATGTGTTTAACAGACATCTATAGAACATTCCATCCAAACACAAAAGAATATACCTTCTTCTCAATGCCACATGGAACCTTCTCAAAAATCGACCACATGCTTGGCAACATAGCAAACATCAACAGGTACAAAAAAATTGGAATAACACCAGGTATTTTTCTTTTCTTTTTTTTTTTTTTTTTTTTTTTTTTGGTTTTCTGAGACAGGGCTTCTCTGTATTGTTTTGGAGGCTGTCCTAGAACTCACTCTGTAGACCAAGCTGGCCTTGAACTCACAGAGATCCGCCTGCCTCTGCCTCCCAAATGTTGGAATTAAAGGTGTGCGCCACTAACGTCTGGCAACACCATGTAT